AAGTCCCAATAGTTCATTTTTGCCCTTGCTTCCCTTGCCTTTGGCGATGTTTCTAAGAAGAAGTTGCTGCAGCTGAAGTTGAAGAGGTTGCTGCCTGTGTTGTCCTCTAGGAGACAAACTAGATTTTATTTTATTTTATTTTATTTTATTTTATTTTATTTTATTTTATTTTATTTTTTTGCAACAGGAGAACACATTTAATGCTACATGCAGCTTGTGGCCTGGCCAGGCTCCTCCCCACACTCTGAGAATCCTATTTGGTGAACCCCTTCTCCATAGCTTCAGTCACTTCAGGGTGCAGAAAGTGGTTAGCCAAGCGTTTGATGTCATCCAGCATCAGGCGGTTCAGGGACCTCTCATAATCCCTCTGTAGTTGATCCGGGACTCTGCTGGCATCTGCAGCACTGAAGTGGTGGGCCAGGACTTTGGAGATCAGCTGCCAGGCTGGTGTGGACGGTGGTGGGACCTCGGCCAGTCTCCGGGCGCTGCTTTCTTCCAGTAACACCTTCTCCAGAGGTTTGACCACTAGGTTGAGCTTGGAATTGGGCCCAACGCTGTAATCGGAGAATCTTTTCCCATCTGCCAGGGCCTTGCCCTTGAACAACAGCTGCTGCTGGCGCACGGGGACGTTGAGCTTCTCAGAAACCAGATGTTTCAGCGTGGACACCGGCTCGTCCTCCGACACCTGCAGGCTGCACTCGCGGCCCTGAAGCGCTTTCACTGTCAGCTGCATGGTGGCCGCGGCAGCGTCCACTGCGGCGGGCGCACACCCCAACGGCCCCCCGCTACGCGCCACCGCCCCGGGCATGTGCCAGAACCAGACAAACTAGATTTTAAATGAAAGACTGTATTAAGAGATGAAGAAGGACATTCTGTCATTATAAAATGATCTATCCAACACAAAGGTCTAACGATTGTAAATATTTATTCCCCCAACTTGGGAGCACCCAAATATATAAACCAATTAATAATGAGTTAATGGAACACACTGATAATCATACAATAATACTAGGGAACTTCAAGACCCCACTCACAGCAAGGGACAGATCATCTAAGCAGGAGATCAACAAGGATAAAAGGGATTTGAATGACACACTGAACCAGATGGACTTCACAGATATAGTCAGAGCATTTCATCCTAAAACAGCAGAATATACACTCTTTTCAAGTGCATATGGCACATTCTCTAGAATAGATCACATACTGGGTCACAAATCAGGTCTCAACCAGTACAAAAAGAATAAGATCATATCATGCATATTTTCAGACCACAATGCTATAAAACTTGAACTCAACCTAAAGAAAAAATTTGGAAGGAATAAAAATACATGGTTAAATAACATCCTATTTAAGAATGAATGGGTCAACCGGGAAATTAAAAAAGCATTTAAAAAAATACATGGAAGCAAATGAAAATGAAAACACGACAGTTCAAAACTTTTCAGATGCAGCAAAGGCAGGCCTAAGAGGGAAGTATATAGCAAACAGACCTTCCTCAAGAAATAAGCAAAGTCTCAAATACACAACCTAAACTTATACCAAACTTATACCAAAAGGAGCTGGTAAAAGAATTGCAAGTAAAGCCTAAATCCAAGAAGAAAAGAGAAATAATAAAGATTGGAGCAGAAATCAATGATATAGAAATAAAAAAAACCCAGTAGAACAGATCAATGAAACTAGGAGTTGGTTCTTTGAAAGAATTAATAAGATCGATAAACCCCTAGAGAGACTTATCAAGAAGAAAATAGAAATGACCCAAATAAATAAATCATGAATGAAAGAGAGAGACTACAATCAACACTGACGAAATATAAACAATTATAAGATAATGTTATGAGCAATTATATGCCAACAAATTATGCAATCTAGAAGAAATGTATAAATTCCTAGAATCATATAAACCATCAAAACTGATCCAGGAAGAAATAGAAAACTCGAACAGACCCATTACCAGGAAGGAAATTGAATCAGTAATAAAAAATCTCCCAACAAACAAGAGTCCAGGGCTGGATGGGTTCCAAGTGGAATTCTACCACACGTTCAAGAAGAATTAACACCTATTCATCTGAAACTTTTCCAAAAAATGGAAATGGAAGGAAAACTTCCAAAGTCATTGTATGAGGCCAGCATTGCTTGATCCCAAAACCAGACAAAGATCCAACCAAAAAGGAGAATTACAGAACAATATCCCTGATGAACATGCATGCCAAAATACCAAGATACTAGCTAATAGGATCCAACAGTACATTAAGAGGATTAGTCACCATGACTGAGTGGGATTTATTCCTGTGCTACAGGTTTTGGTCAACATCTGCAAATCAATCAATGTAATATATCACATTATTAAAAGAAAAGATGTGAACCATATGAACCTCTCAATAGATGAGGAAAATGCATTTGACAAAATACAACATCCTTTCTTGATAAAAACCCTTCATCACACAGGGATAGTGGGAACATACCTTAACATCATAAAGCCATATACAAAAGACCCAAAGCAAATATCATCCTCAATGGGGAAAAACTGAGAGCTTTTCTCCTAAAGACAGGAATACGAGAAGCATGTCCACTCTCACCACTGTTGTTCAACATAGTACTGGAAGTCCTAGCCTCAGCAATCAGACAACAACAACAACAACAACAACAAAAATAAAAGGCATGCAAATTATCAAAGAAGAAGTCAAACTTTCACTCTTTGCAGACAACATAATACTCTATGTAGAAAACCCCAAAGATCCACCCCAAAGTTGCTAGAATTCATACAGCAATTCAGCAACGTGGCGGGATATAAAATCAATGCACAGAAATCAGTTGCATTTCTATACACTAATAATGTGACTGAAGAAAGAAATTAAGGAATTGGTCCCATTTACAATTGCACCAAAAACCATAAGATACCTAGGAATAAACCTAACAGAGGTAAAGGATCCATATTCTAGAAACTACAGAACACTTATGAAAGAAATTGAGGAAAACACAAAGAAATGGAAAAACGTTCCATGCTCATGGATTGGAAGAAAAAATAGTGTTAAAATATCTACGCTACCCAAAGCAATCTGCACATTTGATGCAATCTCTTTCAAAATACCACCAGTACTTTTCACAGAGCTGGACCAAATAATTCTAAAATTTGTATGGATCCAGAAAAGACCCCGAATAACCAAGGCAATGTTGAAAAAGAAAACCAAAGCTAAAGGCATCATAGTTCCAGACTTCAAGCTGTATTACAAAACTGTAATCATCAAGACAGTATGGTACTGGCACAAAAACAGACACATAGATCAATGGAACAGAATAGAGAACCCAGAAATGGACCCTCAACTCTATGGTCAACTAATCCTCAACAAATCAGGAAAAAATATCCAAAGGAAAAAAGTCACTTCAAAAAATGATGCTGGGAAAATTGGACAGCCACAGGCAGAAGAATTAAACTGAACCACTCACTTTCTTACACCATGCACACAAAAATTTCAAAATGGATGAAGGACCTAAATGTGACACAAGAATCCATCAAAATCCTAGAGGAGTACACAGGCAGCATCCTCTCTGACCTTGCAGCAGCAGCTTCCTAGACACATTTCCAGAGGCAAGGGAAAGAAAAGCAAAAATGAACTACTGACTGGGTCCTTATCAGGATAAATAGCTTTTTCACTGCAAAGGAAACAACAAAACTAAAAGACAACCTAGGGAATGGGAGAAGATATTTGCAAATGACATCAAAGAAAGGGGTAGTATCCAAAATCTATGAAGAACTTGTGAGACTCAACATCCAAAAACCAGAAAAATCCAGCCAAGAAATAGGCAGAAGAAATGAACAGACATTTCTCCAAAGAAGACATAAAAATGGTTAACACATGAAAATATGCTCAGAATCACCTGGTATCAGGGAAATACAAATCAAAACCACAGTGAGGTATCACCTCACACTGGTCAGAATGGGTAATATGAACAACTCAGGAAACAACAGATGTTGGCAAGGATGTGGATAAAGGAGAACCCTCTTACACTGTTGGTGGGAATGCAAACTGGTGCAGACATTCTGGAAAACAGTATGGAGATGCCTCAAAGAGTTAAAAATAGAACCTTATGATCTAGCAATTACACTACTAGGCATTTATCCAAAGGATACAAAATAATGACTCAAAGGGGCATTTGCACCCCAATGTTTATAGCAGTAATGTCCACAATAGCTAAACTATGGAAAGAGCTCAGATGTCCATCGACAGATGAATGGATAAAAAAGAGGTGGCATATATATATATATACAATGGAATATTACTCAGCCATCAAAGAGTGAAATCTTGCCATTTGCAATGGTGTGAATGCAACTAGAGGACATTATGCTCAGCAAAATAAGTCAGAGAAAGACAATACCATATGATTTCACTCATGTGGAATTAAGAAACAAAAGAGATGAACATAGGAGAAGGGAGGAAAAATAATAAGATGAAAGCAGAGATGGACGCAAAACTCAAGAGACTCTTAACTCTAGGAAACAAACTGAGGGTTGCTGGAGGGGAGGTGGATGGGGGAAGCGGTGATTGGATGACAGGCTTTAAGGAGGGCACTTGATGTAATGAGCTTTGGGTGTTATATTGCAACTGATGAATCACTAAATTCTGTTCCTGGAACTAATAATACACTGTATGTTAAATAAATTGAATTTAAAAAAAATATAAACATAGGCACTTAAAAACATAGTTCCAAAATACATGAAGTTAAAACAGAATTGAAGAAACAAACAATTCAACAATAATAGAGGTATACTATACCACTCCACTTTTAATAATGGATTAGGCAGATGATCAACAGGGAATTAAAAAACTTGACAACACACTATACCAACTAGACCTAACAAGCATTTACAGAAAACTCCATGCAACAACAAAAAATATACACATTCTTTTCAAGTGCATGTGGAACAATCTCCAAGAGGGACCATATAGTAGGCCAAAAAGCTAGCCTGAATAAATTTAAAATGATTTTATTATATAAAGTATGTTACTTGATCACACTGGCATGAAATTAGAAATCAGTAAGTAAAGGAAATTTTGGGTATTCACAAATATGTGAAAATTAAATGACCCACATAAATAAGGAGTGAGTCAAAGAATAAAGCACAAGGGAAATTAGAAAATATTTTAAATGAATTAAAATTAAAACACAATGCACCAAAATTACTGTGATGCAGCTAAAATGTAATTTATTAGAATATTTATAGTTTGTAAACATCATATGAAAACTTATGAAATGTATCTAAAATACTGTAGGTAAATGTATAGCTGTAAGAACTTAAATTAAAATATAAAGTTCTCAAGTTAATAATCCAACCTTCCACCTTAGGTAATTAGAAATATAGATGAGCAAACTAATCATAAGGTAAGTTGAAGGAAGGAAATAACAGTGGGGTGGAAAGAAATGAAATATGTAACAGAAAGCAATATAGAAAAAAATCAACAAAATTAAAGTTGATTCTTTGAAAAGGTCAACAAAATTGACAAACATCTAGTCTTGCTAAGAAAAAGAGATGACACAAGTTATTAAAATAAGCTTTACAAGTGGACGTCCCTACCAATCTTATAGAATACAAATAAAAAGAAATGTTAGGAAGACTGAGTGTCAACAACACAGATCATGTAGATAGAATTGACCAATTTGTCAAAAGACATAAAGAACTGTTAGAAAACAGAATTCAACTTATAACTGAAGTTCTTCTGCCTGATGCACAACAAAGACAATCACTGAGACATTGAGTATGCAGCAAAGAAAAGGCTTATTCGAAAGGCAGCCTAACAAGGAGACAGGAAGGTA